GGCTCAAAACAAAGCAGAACGACATTCCAATGGGACACACGACTGACCTTGAGGAGGGAAGAATGTTCTCCAAAGTCTTCGTTAAGTTATGCAATTTAGAATAGGATATAATAAATCGCGGTTGATAAAACATTAAATGATTTCGCGGTTGAGTAAATCTTTAAATTAAATGATATCGCGGTTGATAAAATCCAATTTAACTTCCGATCCCGACGTGAGCGAAAATGATCAGTTGTTTAACATTGATGAGCGCGGAAAATGAACGCCGACTGCAGCAAAACGGCGCGAAAGGACTTGAGAGCATTGTTCGACCATGCCAATGCAGCAATGCAGTCATTAATGAGCTTTGTTGTGTATTGGAGATGAGTACCCTTTGAAAGTTGTAGCCCCCTAGTAAAGTTCAAATCGCTAAGTAGACCTGAAACATTATATAAAGACTGCCGTACTGGGCTGTGAGGTAGAGCTCTGCACAAGTTGAGCGACCAAACAAGAAGCGTTTGTACACAAACTCCGGCGAACGACGAGGCCTACCTTTGGCAGCGGCAGCTGCGAACGCCGCCGCCTCAGCGCTCGCCCAGGTGGATGGGGTGGGAGTCGGCGGCCGGAGGACACGTCGTGGGCTCCTCTTGCTGGCGATGCACACGAGGGGACACGCAAACCGAAGGGGCCGGTCGCGGACCACGAGTTTCGCGAAAGAATGCTTTGGGCGTAGCAGTGTCAGACTGCGCGGGGCACAGAGGTCATTCCCTGCGCGAGCTCTACGCGGGCGCACGGGCGCGTGGGCGCTAGCTAGGGACACCGAAACATCGGTGCCGACCAAACAGGCTCGAAGTAGAAGACGTTTGAATGCCGCGCGAGGCCCACAGACCTGCAGGGCGATCCCGCACGTTGTTTACGCGTGCCCTCTCCCTCCCGGTGGCAGCGAGTGCGACAAGGACGGAGAGAACAAAACAAAACACCGTGAGCAACCACCCTCCCTGGCGCAGACGACGGTCAGGCAGCCCGGTTAAATCGCTCACCATATATCGCATCCGCGCCAGGCGAGCCGGGGCAGCGCCGGGCACCCTAACGGCTTCTACCACCTCCAGTCGAAAGGGCCACAATAGTACCTGCCGCGGCGGGGCGAGCCGCACGACTAGGCGATCGCTTCACTCCCGTTCAACAAGGACTGAAACGCCTTATAGTGTATTTCGACTAACGGAGGAAGAAGAAGAGCGGGTAGAACATAAACGTTACCGATTGGTCGAGAGCTTCCCGCCTCTACGCTACCTCTACGTCACGCCGGTAGTGGGGGTAAGCGCTCGGCCAATCAGGAACCTTCATGTTCTACCCGCTCTTCTTCTTCCTCCGTTAGTCGAAATACACTATTCACCTCACTTGTTCGTCCCAGAACTGAAGATTAACCAGCAAACCTGAGGTGAAAAAGTGAGCAAAAATAATATGCGAAAGTCGGAATCAAAACCCGAGGAGCGCATGGGCCACGGCGCGGCGGGGCGGGGCGGACAGCCGTGTGGAACGGCGACAGGTGGCATATTGCGGGTCAACAACAGAACAGTCAAGCAGACACACGATCGTGGCCTCGAGGCCGCAAGACTTCGCGATCACTTTCACTTTCCGTTCAACACCGGTTGTTGAAATGCCCTTTTGACATCCCCTTGTTCACCCCAGCGCCGGAGGAAGACCAGCAAATCTGAGGTGAAAAAGTGACCTAAGGCAACATACAGTCGGAATCAAAACAACGGGCGGAAGGGAATCGCGGGGGCCGCGGGGGCGGACTTGACGGCGAGCTGTTGTGATGTGTTGTGATGCGATGCGATGCGATGGGCGGCACGGTAGACGCGAGCGAGCTGAGCGCGGCGCGACCCACACTCAGCGTACAGGACGGACGGATCGCGAAGCCTTCATCTTGAACTCTTCTAGGGCCGGCTGCCGGCTGGCTCCCACCCACGAGCCAGGTCGGACCGAGGGCTCGAACCGAATGAGCGAGCAGCGGCCGGGAGCTCCAGCAGGCAGAGGCGAGGAGGGGAGGAGGGGAGGGTGGGGGGAGAGGGCTTGGTTAAGAATAGTGAAGTGCAGATGGCGGATTCCGTGGCTCTCTTCCCCCACTACTCAGTTTCTTGTGGACTGATTGGTGAGAACTGATGAGTGGGGAAAAGAGCCACGGAATCCACCATCCGCACTTCACTATTCTTTCGCGGGGAAGACTAGTGCTCCGGATTGGTTCCGGTGTAATTTTTTTTTTTACTTACTTTTTAGTGCGATTTGTGTTAGGACTCGATTTGGAGTTGAATCTATAATTGCCGACTCAACATATGGATTCCCTCAAAGTAATTTTCAAAATTTACTGAAAGAATAACGAAATAAAAATAAAGACGGATGGATGAAAACTCCCCCGAACCATCCGGAAAACATGTGCCCTGCTCGGAAAAATCTTCGACAGATTTCCCAAATAATCCCCAAGATTTCATCCCCCACCTTTTCCCCCGCCCGCGCGCAACCCTGTGCAGCCGCCTCTGGCGACCCCACTTACCCACTCCAATAATTCTGAACCCGAGGCGGAACTATAGCGAGCGCCTACTGTAGTGGAATAAAAGAGGGATGTATGAAACAGGCTTAACACTTTGATTATGGTCTGCCTCCAGAAAAGAACACAATTTATTTATTCTTCTCTATACATAAAATAATTAGTAACAATAATAAATTTTCCCAGATTTAACATAAATAGTTCACAATAACCACTTAAACACTTAGAAACACTTAGACT